CCCAACCAGCTTAAAAGTCGCTACGAATCTTAACATCGTTAATTGAAGCTCTGTCGTCCCGACAGTTCTGTACCTTTCACCTAAAGACGGCCGCTTGCGTTGTTGCCAAAACGTCGTGAGAATTTTATCGTGTCATTTTATTATTTTATTCTCATTCTACGTGACTTTACCGAAAGAACCAAAGAAAATAAAATAATAAAGATATAAAACAATAAAATTCTCCAAATCAAAATTCAGATACTGTTGATTTATTCACTCCATCTCCGCAGTTGACACTGCCGGTTGTGTTCCCTCCTTAGCTCCCATTCCCACGTTAGTCTCGACCACCGGCCGTCATCACTTCAAGTTGTGTGTCCTGCCTCACCCCACCTTTCTAAACTAAAATTACGTCCTTAATTTGCATATGATGTCCAATTGACGTGTCCGTCTTCCAGTATCAGTGTAATCCTTAGGATGTGCATCATCTCTACGCTTCCTTGTGCATTTCTAAACATTGGTTCTATTTTCCGTTTGTGATGCATCTCTTTGAAAAACACGTTCTGCTTAAGGCATATGGTACAGTTACGTTTCATTATTAAGTTAAGATAACAATAAGCACTTTGCTCTGCCCTGATACGCTTCTCTTGATCATTTTCATCCCTCTTCCCCTTCAACAACCGCCCTACGTGGAGATGCACTTCTGTGTTTTCAAGGCTGAGTCCCTGTTCTTTTTGGGTTCAGTCTGTCATTCCCCCGCACCTCCAGTAAAGCATGGTTGGCTGCGTACGGTGCGAAAGAAGTTCACCATGCAAACATACGCTGCGTTGAAATATGATTCTACTGACTGCAGACCAAACCTGGACAGATTTCTCAATACGAGTGCAATATCGAGGGTACAGATCAATACCACCTGAACACAGATGCTAATTCCCCGACGGGTGGCAACTCTAACCATGCCCATACAAACATACACAACATCTTGACCATGAATCGCCTATGCGGCAGATTAAATGTCAAGCATTTAACATTGAAGTCCGATCTACTTTTGTTCGTTTTGATTTATTTTGGCGCAGTTTCAAGTAAGTATTTTTGATATAATTTTGTATTGTCATTTGCTGTATAATTATGATAATAGACCAACCACTGAGACATTTTCCAGGGTTGGTCTACAATCGAAAAGGTGGCAACCCCATAGCACACCCTCGTGTTCCAGTGTTAACACATCGTATGTTTGTATCTTGAACTTCTTTGGCACCGTACGTAGCCCACCGTGCTAATCGGAGGTATGGGATGGTTGCGAGTGCTGTCAATGTGGCGGTGTTGACAACAAGCATCCACTTGAAACGAACGCGCTTCCTAAAATCCGCGATTTTATCATTTCATGCCGATACGTGGAGATGAGCGGGTTCACCGCGGGTCTTAAACAGCCCTTCCCCAGCCAACATGCACTGGGGGAAATTCCATCAATATTCTCATTAATTATCTTCTTTGGAAGACGAAGAATAAAAAAGCTAATCCTGCAGGCATCGGGGTCCGATATTTGTGACGATGTGTGACGGGGGGGGGGGCTGAGAAATGTGACGTCACATCAAAATGCGCAACTTTAAATAAACATAGACAACACGTTCTACTTAATTAAATAGACTTTTTAATAAATGTTTAATCCTACAACAATAGAGTGCAGCGCCACATTAAATACGCACTACAATTACAATAGTTTAAAGCGATTTGAAGCATGTTTTATATATTTTTTGGGGGGGGGGGGACAGAGCTTTGTGTCGTCATATTTGAGGGGGGGGGTCTGACTTTTTGTGTCGCCGCGTGACGATGGGGGGGGGGGGTCAAAAATCGTCAGAAATCGCGTGACGTCATTTTTGGACGGCCCCTTTGGCACCGTGCGTCGCTGAATCATTGCTCATCGGAGTGTCAGCTGTATGACAACGCGACGTGGCACGCAGTGCCAACGCACACCTGTCACCCCCTAACCATTGCCTCTCTTATTACAGACCAATTCAGACCTTATTGGTCACCCCGTGCCCCTTACAAATCTCAACATTCATCCTACAAAGTCCCATCACAAGGGGAGAAACACAAAACATTGTTTTGCCCATTTTAAAACGGCTATAGTAAGCCGTATGGACCTGAGAACTCAATCTCCCTGTACACCAATACGGGGTAACCCGGTACGGGTTGACACGGCATGCCAACGTGATACTGGATCGCGCCTTCGGCTCTAAGAGATTCGTTTGTGACTTAACTGGAGATTAATTAATGATAAACCAGCCAGGGCTTCCCTCAATGTACGCGGGTTCGGTTTGTTGCGCTATTTCACGCTGTGGGGGCCGTCCATAAATGACGTCACTCGATTTTTGACCCCCCCCCCCCCATCGTCACGCGGCGTCACAAAAAGTCAGACCCCCCCCTCAAATATGACGACACAAAGCTCTGCCCCCCCCCCACGCCCCAAATATAAAACGTGTTTCAAATCGCTTTAAACTATTGTCATTGTAGTGCGTATTTAATGTGGCGCTGCACTCTGATGTTATGGGAGAAAAGATTTATTTAAAAAGTCTATTTAATTAAGTAGAACGTGTTGTCCGTATTTATTTAAAGTTGCGCATTTTGATGTGACGTCACATTTCTCAACCCCCCCCCCTCATCGTCACACATCGTCACAAATGTCTGACCCCCCCCCCCACCCCAGGTGCGTGACGTCATTTATGGACGGCCCCAGTGCAATGCGGCTACCTCTGACCCAAAAGTCGCTCTCTGGAGTTGCTGTGCGCGTGTGTGGTGGGGGGAGCGGTGGCGCAGCGGTTAGCGCACTGCGCTACGAACCCCGACTACACGAGGTCGATTCCCGCTCACCTCATTCCTCCGATTAGCACGGTGGGCTACGTACGGTGCGAAAGAAGTTCAAGATACAAACATACGATGTGTTAACACTGGAACAGGAGGGTGTGCTATGGGGTTGCCACCTTTTCGATTGTAGACCAACCCTGGGCAATGTCTCAGTGCTTGGTCTATTATCATAATTATACAGTAAATGACAATACAATAATTATATCAAAAAGACTTACTTGAAGCTGCGCCAAAATAAATCAAAACGAACAAAAGTAGATCGGAATTCAATGTTAAATGCTTGACATTTAATCTGCCGCATAGGCGATTCATGGTCAAGATGTTGTGTATGTTTGCATGGGCATGGCTAGAGTTGCAACCCGTCCGGGAATTAGCATCTGTGTTCAGGTGGTATTGATCTGTACCCTCGATATTGCACTCGTATTGAGAAATCTGTCCAGGTTTGGTCTGCAGTCAGTAGAATAATTTTTCAACGCAGCGTATGTTTGCATGGTGAACTTCTTTCGCACCGTACGCAGCCAACCATGCTTTACTGGAGGTGCGGGTGAATAACAAACTGAACGCAAAAAGAACAGGGACACAGCCTTGAAAACACAGAAGTGCATCTACACGTAGGGCGGTTGTTGAAGGGAAGAGGAATGAAAATGATTAAGAGAGGCGTATCAGGGCAGAGCAAAGTGCTTATTGTTATCTTAACTTAATAATGAAACGTAACTGAGCCATATACCTTAAGCACAACGTTTTTTTCAAACAGATTCATCACAAACGGAAAATAGAACCAATGTTTAGAAATGCACAAGGAAGCGTAGAGATGATGCACATCCTAAGAATTACACTGATACTGGAAGACGGACACGTCAATTGGACATCATATGCAAATTAAGGACGTAATTTTAGTTTAGAAAGGTGGGGTGAGGCAGGACACACAACTTGAAGTGATGACGGCCGGTGGTCGAGACTAACGTGGGAATGGGAGCTAAGGAGGGACACAACCGGCAGTGTCAAGTGCGGAGATGGAGTGAATAAATCAACAGTATATGAATTTTGATTTGTGAGAATTTTATTGTTTTATATCTTTATTAATGTATTGTTTCCCTTCTTGGTGACTTTACCGAAAGAACCAAGAATATAGTATATGAATTAGATCATTTATTTATTTTGCTAACTTTACAATCAATCGTACATTTTAATTGCGCTAGTTTAATGTCTTCAGCTTTAGTTTCTAATTCTCTAGGATAAAACAAGTTATTTTGTCAAAAATAATGACGTTAATTGTCGCATACATTGAAAGTGAAATTTTAAATTAACCGTGTGAGTCTTCAAATACTGTTCTGGTTATTCCCACCTTGTTGGTGTCCCTATTGTCTCCTGCACCCACTAACAACGGAGTTATTGTTGGGGTGGAGAGAAGCACAGCCAGCAGCCAGCCAGGAAACTCGAGATATAGAATATTTTAATAGCAGCGTGACTTACACTGCTACAGCAGCGATGTTATCATGTAACTAGTTACATTCTCTGTGCCGCAAACATTAAATGGAAACTAATTTTTCTGTGGTACGATTGTCCCCACGATTTGAGGGCCAATTCCTTAGCGACGGATTTACTACCAATTGAAGGATGATACAAGTGAAATGTGAAGTGGTAAGATTGACCTTAGATCATTGCAAGCCAATCCCAGATTCTGAGTTCGGAGTGACTCGGCAGGGCCGACGGCGTGAGCCTGGCACCTTGGGAGTTGTCATGGACAGGGAGCAATGAGGCCGCGTTACCGGTTGTCTTAGTTTTGGGGAATTCTGTGTCCAGAACTCTGATCCACAGTAACGATGAAACAAACACAATGTAGAAAAAAAGAACAGTTGCAACTGTTACAGGAAATTGAAAGGCATTTTAATACAAAAAACAAACATCATTACCATTCACACAAACAGTATATATTATAGTAGTTCGAAAATTAGACTGTGGAAAATAAACACCTAATCCAATGAAGTTGAATGTGAACGCTGAAACACGTAAATATTACTGAACATTGCGTGGATAGAAGAAACTGATTTAACTAAATATCCATACAATTAAAACATCAATAAAGCAGGTTGCTGGAATGGATCCTCCAGGCGCCACTCTACGCGTGAGTGGTGCCAGTGGACTGAGAGGCCGTGCCAGGAGTCGCTGTCGCTGGCTGCTCAATGACCACCACCCTCTCGGCCGCTGCAGGGAGGGCGCGGCGCTGAGCCTTGAACTTCAGCTTCCCGTCTTCAGTCAAGCAGCAGCTCACGCTCTGCGGGTCCACGTTCCTGGGCAGCTGCGTCTCCCTGTGGAACTCCTGGCAGCTGTGGCTGTAGCTGCCGCTGCTGACTTCTCCGCTCTTCACCTCGCGCCGTCCGGCCACCACCAGCTTGTCTCCAGACACCTTCACGGCCAGGTCCTGTGGGGAGAAGTCCTGCACGTCCAGGGACGCGACAAACCCGCCTCCTTGCTCCTGTGGATCTTCAATCTGGAACCCACATGCTCACGGCCGGCTCCTGCAGCAGTGCGTCTCCGAGGCTGCCCGGAGCCCGCGTGTGGCTGCTGAGCTGATCGACTCCACGGAAGATTCTCTCCATCCTCTCGATCTCGCTCCTCATGTCTTGCTGCAGCTGCTGGAAGAGACTTTCACCGCGGGGGTTCCAGACCGGCCAGCCTGGCCAGACGCTCCTCTCCATCACGTGCATCGCAGGGAAGTAAACACTCAGGGCCATGCTTGTTGATGTACTTCACAGTGAGGCTCGCTTCAGCTGTGAGCGCTGCTCCCTCCTCCGCCGATGTTCTGCCAGTGCAGCTACAGGAGCTGTGTGGGGGCTACCGTCCCCCGCCATCACTGAATTGTCGGGGCCGCTGCTCACCGACTCCCCCATTCCACTCACACCGCTACCCCCCGGCTGCTCCTTCAGGTCCAGACTAACGACCCCTAACGTCTCGCCCCCCTGTACCTCTGCCTGGGATGTAGACCGCGTTTACATAGTTTAATTATCGGCTCGTACGCTCCGCGCTTGCGATGCGTTACACTGTGCAAAGGCGGGGTGGGGCTGTAAGCGCGCTCGCCAGTAAATCTCCGTCCCGCCCGTAAACAAACAGGCGCGGCGCGTGTTTCCCTCCCACCCGCGCTCCACGTGTGCCGACAATAACAAACACGCCCCTACCCTCTGCCCCTAAACAAACCAATCGCACACGAAGGGGTTGGAGCCGGGGGACGGGCGGGCAGGGTTTCTGCCGTGCGCGCCGCTGATTGGGGACGCTCGCTTGGCTCTGAGTTAAAGGTCCCGCTCAAACAGTCGCGCGAATACGCGCACGCTCGGCGCTCTAACTCGCTATCTCGCGACCAGACCCGTGTGCGGGTGCGTGACCGCGGCACCGCCACCCAGGTACGCGATCGCTAAGCACTATGGTGGGCAATCGTGCGGGCACGTAAACACCACCCGCTTCGTCTCGAGGTGCACAGCCGCGCATACACGTAGACACCCAGCGCACACTGCCCTCCACTTCACGCTCCCAAAAGACCACGCAACACAGTTGTTTTTCCCCCCACTAGCGAATTTTATTTACCTGTGATGGTATGGTCAGTGGACGCTAACCTATCCCTCGGAGGTCTACGAGTCGATTTCCCCTACCGCTCGCCCCGCTCTCTATCCTGGATGTAAAACGGCTGAACTTACGCCTCTCTCACTCGTACTTACTTCTCCCCGATGTACTGACCGCTGTGAGGGAATGAGGCGACGAGCCTGCCGATGCCGGAGTACGTCTCACGGACGTCTCGGATGGCTGACTCTCCTGCTCCCGGGACCGCGATGATCTTGAACCAGAAGAACCCCCCTGCTACCCCGATCCCCCCCCCTTTTTATCCTACCTACAACAAAGGAATTTTTGCTCTTTCCGACCCTTGGCCTCCCGTCCAATCAGGGGCTCGGATTCTCCCGCCCTTTCGATGTCCGGATCCCAGCTCAGATGACGTCGCCGCAGTGATCTCACCGACGTCCGCTCTCTGTTCTCCCGCTACCAGTCCACTGACCCGTGCATGTGTGAGGCTCCACTCGCGGTGGTTCGATGGCCCTTGCCGCGACCATGCAACTTTAATATCAGGTCGCGGCGCCGCAGTGCATGTCAGCTACAGGGGGGAGGATCGCCCAATTTCCCGGCCGCAGGAAACCATGAGGTTCGATCCCACTAGGGACTTCTGGACAAAAACCTATCAGCCGGGTGACCTCCCCTCCTGGCTCTACGTGGGGCGTGTGTACGTTCGTGTGTGGGGGGGGGGGGTGGTGAGGGTGCGCAGCGTCGGCGTCGACATCCCCCGGTGGCGGCTTTGCAGCGGTGGCCACGACCTCGGCAGAGTGGCCCTGCTGCAGCGGCCTCACGACTGTGCAGGGGCCAAAACGCGGACGTCTGAGAAGGCACCGGCCCCGGGAGAGTGGCGGGAAATCCGCGGCATAGGTGATGGCGCCGCGGTAGCGGGCGCGGTTCCGCTGGAGCGGCTCCGCTGCGGCGGCACCACAGCTGCTTTTATAGCCCTGGCAGTAGCTACGAGCAGATGCCAGGGGCAGCCAGAAGCGTCCAGAATGACGCAGCTGCTCCCAGCGGCTTCCTCCATCCGCACAGAATCTAGAGCGTCACTCGTGTCTCAGATGTGAATAATTAGTATTGTATTACAATTCTATAAACAATACAGTGTTGTAGTGTATCACGTGGTGATGTTCCATTGCACAGCCACGTGCGGAATGCTATAATGACGAAAGAGCCGTGGAAAGCTCTGACATCACGGTGACGTCATGGCCCGGTGACGTCACGGCAGAGGCCAGAGTGGAGTCGGCTCCTGCAGAGGCAACCACCTCGCCCCACGCTGCTCCTCCACTTCGAGGTCTTCAGAGAACTTCGCCACCACCACCATGGCGATCTTCACGGCTGTCCTCACTGTGGTTCTGCTGCTCACGCAGCCGATGGTGGAGCTCCTCGGAGGATCTCGGCGTGGGGGTTCGGTCATCAACGGCTCCAACACCACCACCACCACCACGATCAACTACTCGGGACTCATGAAGAACGTCTCTGCACCAGCAGGGGTCGCCACCTGGGGACCGATGTTCACTAGCGGCCACGCAGATGGACAAGAGAGGGACGGCCCAGCCTGGCCCCACGGGATGTCCTGGCTCATGCACAGCGCGCCGACTCCTCTCCTGCACGCTGCGGGTCAGCTGTGCAGTAGCCACAGTGAGGACATTGTGGACAGCGTGCTCCCTGCCCTACTGCAGGCTATGGGTGAGCTGAGCAGCAGCTGCCAGGCCATAGTGGACAGCATGCTCCCTGCTCTGCTCCACGTTGTGGGTCAGCTGTACAGCGGCTGCAAGGAGGCCATCAGCTCCACCGTGCTGCTGAACACCCTGCACATCGCCGTGCATCTCTGGCGTTTCATACGTCGCCAAGTGAGTGAGCAACATCCATCATCATCACCACCATCAGCCATGGTCAATCCACTAGTGGGTAGAGACCTCCACGACCCGTCGCCACCTCCCACGATGCCGCTGTGCAGTAATCCACCCAGCACCTGCACGTGGAGCGATTTCATTGCTTCATCTCCCCACTGGGCACCCTCTCGGATGACCCCCTCGCAGCCCGTCGGCATCACTCGCCCCCTTCACACCTCCACCGATCCCCCTCAACTCCACTCACGGTGTCTTCAACAGCCTGGTTGGGCACTGGAACAGTATCCCGGACAGTGCCGGATTAAGCTCGTGCGGGTCCTGTAGCTTATATTATAAAGGTGCCCAAAATAATGAAAAAACACAATTATTGAAACACGAAGTTTTTAACTTGCATAGTAAAGTAATTGTAATTTTACTATAGTAATAGAGCAAGTACAGAATCACTGAACCGGGATTTATAGCGTGAGATCATTTACCACGGGGCCCTTGAAAGTGCGGGGCCCACAGCTAATGATTATTTTGTTCCGAGGATAATCCGGCACTGATCACGGATTGAGTATGAGGAGCAGTGATGAGATTTAAAGTATTTTTTTACATGTTATTAAAATGTTATGTTTAGTAGAAAATATAATGCTGTTTGTCTCTTAGCTGTGATTCTTAAAAACACTGTTGTTACTCAATGGTCTTTCGGTAAAGTCACGTAGAAAGAAAATAAAATAAATAATAGAATACGACGTTTCGATTGCAACCCAAGCAGTCGTCATCAGGTGAAACTAAATTTGAGAGAGAGACCAAACACAGACAGGGAGACACAAAGATCCCCCGTATAGCCTGAACAGACTGTAGGGGCAAGTGCTGTTAGCGAGCACCTATGAAGGCCGGAACAGTACACGAGGGGGTGGGTGGCCAGCACCACGCCCGACCGCCTTTGTCTCCCTAGTGGCGATGTTTACACACCGCACCAGGTACTCATTTGAGGCTGAGTAGACCTAGGGGAGGCCCGGGACCGGTTCCTGGAAATCAATGTGACTTCTGCTGTTGCCTTTGAGAGATCAGTTCAGATATGCGTGGCTTCACCTTGGCAAGTGCCACTCTCATGTCATTTTCACAGCAAAGTCTGTTCCTTTTCTTCGTTTTTATGTCCAGCATCCTCGAAAAGGATTGCTCACAAAGATATGTTGTAACAAATGGTATAAAAAAATCCAGGGCTTTCTTAGCAATAACTGGATACTTGTTCATTTGTCGACACCAAAACGTTGAGAGCGTTGTTGTTCTGAAGAGTTGCTGTTGAACCTGGCTCTGCTGAATTTCAATTATTTCGTCGAGGAATTCATCATTGACATCTGCTGTTTCAACAGCAAACGTGAACGGCTGTCTCACCCATGCTGGATATGACTCTCTTGTAGGGAAATATCCGTCGAGAGACTTTGCAAGCTCATCTAAGTGCGTGGCAATTGTTTGCTTCAGTTCCGTGGATACAGAAATATCTCCGATTCCAGACACATCTTCGATCTTACTTGCACAGTCGTCCAGAAGCGGGAAGTTTGCGAAGTTATTGTTCTCTGTTCGTCGTTTCCATAACGGTAGCTTTTTTTGAAAAGCCTTCAGGTGTTCTTCCGCTTCCATGATATTGACTCCACCACCCTGCATCTGCTGATTGAGATGATTGAGAGCTGCGAATATATCAGCCATGTACGCTAAAATGAGAATGAACTCAGGATTTTTGAAGCAATCTGCATGGCAGTGTTGGTGCTCTTGCAAAAACAGGGCTAATTCCACACGCATGGCAAAAACACGATTCAGCACCTGTCCCCGGGATAACCACCGAATATTAGAATGGAGCAGAAGTACCTCAAATTCAGAGCCCATTTCTTTACACAGCTCACTGAAGATGCGGTGCCTCAGAGCACTTTTTCGCACATAGTTCACACATTCCACCACAGTTTTTAATACTTCTGCCATTTTTGGAGGTAAGGTTTTTGTTGCCAACGCATGCCTGTGCAGAATACAATGCGTCACAATGATGTGTGGTGCATCGGCCTTTACTAGCGCACCAAAACCAGACTTTCTTCCCAGCATGACTGGAGCTCCGTCCGTACAAACTGCAGAAACCATATCCCATGAAAGATTGTTGTCTCTGAAGAAGTCATCCACAAGCTTCTTCACATCGGCTGCCTTCGTTGTTGTTGTAAGAGGCTTACAAAATAAAAACTCTTCTTTTATCATGTCGTCTTTCACATAGCGTACAAAAACAGCAAGCTGGCTTAGATCAGAAACGTCTGTGGTTTCGTCGAGTTGAAGGCTGAATTTTGCCGGGCTTGAAATCAGATCCGCGACTACTTGAGCCAAGATGTCTTTACTCATGTCTTCTATTCTGTCACTGACGGTGTCATTTGAAAGGGGAATTTGGGATAATTTACCTTCGGCCGCTGTTCCGAGTATCAGATTCGCCATCTTTAATGCAGCTGGTTTCACAAGTGTTTCACCAATGGTGTGTGGCTTGCCCTGCTTTGCGATCAGGTAAGCAACTTCGTACGATGCTGTCAGGATCGGTTTGTTAACAGGTACAAATCCAAGAGCAGGCAGAGTGGCCCTTTCATCGAATCTGGCTCTCTTCACCCTGAATTCAGCAAGTGTTGTGTTCTTGTATTCCCCGTCTCCATGCAGCTTCAAGAAGTGTTCCTTTAGTTTTGCCGGTGCAAGACTAGAGTTGCTCAACTTGGCGTTGCAAATCATGCAGATAGGACGCTCACTCCCATCACGTTCCGTGATACATGAGAATCCATGTTGTACATATTCGTCCGACCACTTTCTTCTTTTGCCCGACATAGTTAGTATGGATAAAATATTAAAGAAATCACACGACGTACGACAACAACAGTCACACGTTGAGTACTGAGTACGCACTAAATTCCCCGCAGCGCTGATTGGCCAAGCAGTGTAGCATGATCATCTGCAGCCAGTGATGGCCAAGCGGGCCGTGTGTGTCATCACAAATTTACACAATAATTCAAGTGTGTCCGGACCTCCGTGGCGGGGGCTCTGCCGAACCCCTGAGATCGACTCACCGAACCCCTGGTGTTCGATCGAACCCAGGTTAAGAACCACTGCTCTAGTGACTCTATCGGATTCTAGTGACTCTATCGGATTCAACACCGCATTGGCAAAACTGCCGTTATTCACCAAGCCTGGTGCACCCTTTATCATGTAATCCTTTTCGTGGGTCTTCATATGCCTTTTGAATTTTCCTTGCTGATCAAAGCTTCGTCCGCATATGCCGCACCATTGGTCATGGGTCTCCTTGTGCGTTCTTACGTGGGCTTCTAGGCACCATGCCAGTTGGAATTTTTTCCCACAGACGTCACAAGAGATGAGTTTTTTCGCTCTTGTAACTCTACCGGATTGAGGTGGGGTCGAGACGGGTGCTGGTGAAGTGCCATCGATGGTAAAGGCAATTCTCCCAGCACCACCATGACTCGCAGCGGAGTTGCTCTCGCACATCTGAAACAAAAGACAATGGTCAAGCGCATTACACCTGTGTCATATGTGGACTCACAAAGGCATACATAAGGTGGCAAGATTCATTATAACAGATTCATTATAACAGAACTCCTCAATATAACAGAACTCCTCAATAGTGCAGATCCTATCATCAGAGTCTGCGGAGAGGAGGATGTCGTTGGTAACTCTGAGGAGGGCTGTTTCAGTGCTGTGTTGTGAACGGAAGCCGGATTGAAATGGTTCGAACAGGTCATTTGAGGAGAGGTGGGCTTTGAGTTGTTTGGCGACAGTGCGTTCCAGTATCTTAGACAGAAAGGGGAGATTGGCAATGGGCCGAAAGTTTGACAATGTTGGGGTCAGT